AAAAAAACAAGCGTTTACCTTATCCTGTGTGGCATTTATCCCGGCAAGAAACATTATCTGGCCAAGTCCCAATGAGGCAATGAGACTTAACCTCACTTGAGACAGCGGCTGATGCACATCACTAGTGATAACGAAAAGAAATATAGACTGTATTGATAGACAAAAATAGGAAAATAGATCAATACCATTTATATCAAGTAAGAAACTGTACAATATTATCAAAACTGAGAAGGAAAGGAACTAAACTAGGAGAAATGAAAAAAAAAATAAATAGGTCAGAGTTGAAGAGTACCAAGTGTAGTAAAATAATTCCATAACAGAAGGAAAAAAACAATTTACTTACGTGAGGAGAGCATAAGAAGCTAAAGTAAGAATTATTCCAATGAGCGACAAGATCAGTCCCACGTAAGTGAGAATCGTCAATATCTTCTCATCTTTTTCTGTCTATTTTTTCATTGTAATAACAGGCAAAAGGAAAGCAAAATAAAACTAATGACGACATACTAAAAAATATATATATATATATATTTTTTTTTTCTTACAATATAAAATAGCACAACAGCCCCGTTAATAAAAATGTTCTTCTCGGCTTTAAGTAAATATGACAACAGTGAAAAATCTGAAAACATATTAAAATTAACCTCAAATCTGGAAGGAGTGGGTAGTTATGTAACATGGTGATTTGCCATGATTATCATGAAACAAATGTTGTGGATTATGAACAGACAAACACCATTACCTCTGCTGTGTAGTCGAACAAAACTGCAAAGTGAGTCAGATGGTTGCAGCTGCACTCTGTGTAGTCTGATTTTCTTTTAGATACGTGACATCCCTCATCTGACCACCCATCAATACTAAAAATAGGCGACATGTTAGCTTTTTACATGAAGCGACGAATAAATGACATCTTCCCTTAACTATTTATCGAAAGTTTGGCTCTGCTGCTTGAAGTCATCAAATTTCATCAGCCTGTCATTTTAGTCGCCCATGTGCTGGGGTTTAACAAAGGAAAGAATCATGGGGCGCATTTAGGCTCTTACGACGACTGAGCCCTTAGAAATCACCCATCTTTTGAAAGATAGCATCTTATTCACTATGCAAGATTAGAAAGATGAGCCAAGGAACGTAGTGGCAGTGGGTAAGGAAGTTAAGCATTATAGCTTACTCTGAACATTGCATTATCTAGGATGGCCACCAAGACATCCATTATATCAAAGTCTTTCAGAATAATCCAAAAAAGAAAAAAGAAACAAAATGGGAAAACCAACCAAAAATAATTAGATACAGTGAGATAATATAATTGACGAAATTCTCACATGAAGGTGAAAAATGATGTGCCGTGAATCGACTGCCTGAGGCACTTTAATATTTTCGGACAGTCGCTAAACATGTTTTAGGTCATACAATGGAAACGTTCGCCGAGGACAGAAGTTTTAATTTAGTACTACAAAATACTGCGTGACTACCACAAAATAATCATGCTTACCGTTTGGAATCAAATCCTTTCCAAAACACACAATGCCTGGTTGCGTCAAGAGACTAATGAATAAGATACTGTTTCATTCAGCCCAACAGTCAATACTTTCAGGAAATCTAATCATTAATATAAAAGTAAAGTATTCTTTCCATGCACCCATTTTTCGTTTTTTCAGTCGTTGATATATTTCATCATACATGTCATATAATTTCAATTTTATGTAGATTTCTTGCCTTTTGATTTCTAAACTTCATGACGGCATTTCTTATCAAAAGTGTCGGCTTCGGATCCATTGCGACTGCTATTACCAAGCTGTTAAGACGCCTGAATGATAAAGAAACAAAACCATTGAGTAGGGCTCGCTTTAAGAAACAATCCAATCGGACCAATATAATTATCCCTTATGAACCTGTAAAAAAAATCTCAGGGTAGACGCTAGCCAGTGCAGAAGAAGGAATGTTGCCTTTATCGGCTTTTTCACTCCCGAGCGGTTTTATTAGTTTAGTACCAGTCTTCCTCAGCTGCAATTCATGGAGGGCTAAAACTTATCATTTTCTTTATCTGATCATCATCACCACTATCTCTAGAAAATCATTGTCAGTGGGTCTTTTTTCTTCCTTCCGCCATCGACTCTTTCATTGTAATTGTCACTTAGATGCAACAACGAAACGTTGAATACTATGAAGAAGAACGATGTGAGGCATAATATAATTCCTGATCTGGCAGTTTTTAAACGCGACTATGCCCAGGAAGTCAAAGATTTTATGGAGATTTTCTGAATGGATGATTTTTAATCTTAATCAACATACACGTACAGATCATGTTACCTCCTTTTCTTTAAGTTTGCATTATTAAATTCTCTCATTCTTAACAGCTCATGTAGGCCTTTGAATATGATTCCGACAATCACTGAACCTTAAAGGAAAAACAGAAAAGCAATTCAAGATGTATCCGTGAGTTAGATGGACTGCGAGTGTATCGTACTCCCTGTCCAGGTAGATGAGATAATAAAAACATTTTAAAAGATACAATTACGTGAGAATGTTGATGACTTTTTCGAAAGCTCCAAAACATTCAGCAATACATAACCCATCTTTATTTTCCTTGAATTTTCGAGAAGATTTACTCTTTAGAAAATGTCACTCGTCACATTGTTGGGATAGAGTTCTATTTTCAGTGTGTGATTGAACTTTACAAGTAAAAGGATCAAATACTTACGTTCTGGGCTATTTTGCTTCCCTCCTGCCCCACTTACTGATGGAAAAAAAAAAAACTATGGAAAGCTTCATAGATTTAAATAGAATATTCAAGAAACCTTTGAAAACTACAACAATAGCGACTGCAACAAAAACAAAAGCATTTAGCTAAGTTCAAGATCAGAGTCAAGTTTGCCCCCGTCCCAATTTATGCAGATCATTTTATTAAAGCTCGTGGTAAAAGTTTTCTTCGCACATCAAAGTCAAATACCTACCGTTTCTATTAAAGTTATTGGATGGGATGTTAACAGTTTCATTTAATGATTCACCGAGGTGAAAGTCGTCCGAATCTCGTGGTAGACTCTTCCGAATATCAACTGTTATAAAGGAGGAATGGTGTGGTTTTAAAATACATAACAGAAATATCATAGAATATAATGAGAATAATATTAAATATTTGTTAAATTCAATCTGGGATATAACTATCATACGTAATAGGGTTCATCCCTGAACCTCCACATGCATTCCGCCACTACTTTTATGAGATCAATTATGTATGCCTATGATGAGTGTCTGTAGTACCAGCAGACTCTTAAAACTGATAGTGGTACGAATTAGTTACCAAAAACTTAAAAGAGGTTTTAATAGCTGAAAAAAACAAAAAAAAATCTTAGTCTCCATCTTGGTATGACTTAATTTTTGTATATCATATGAGGTTTCCATCATACGCTATCAAGCTATCAAGGATTAAAATTATGTGTCCCACTATGACTTCATTTTCGTATGTCATTTAGGATGTTCAATTTCTTCTCAATTACAAAACATAACAACATTAAAAAAACAGACAAACAACCTTAAGCCTACCACGTATTCTCTCATATTTCCCCCTTAACACTGGCCTTGATTCGTTGAGGTGGTACCAGCCATACTTCAGAGCAAAGGTCTCAAAGGCATCTACCGTTGTGTATATCAACTCTATCCGTTTCCGCTCGGTTATAACATTTTTTTTAACTTCTGTAAAGGATATATCTTTGTACTTGGCCAGAGTATCTTGCAACAAATCGACGACGTTCTGCAAAAGGATGGAATGAAATTCAATGAACAAAGTGTTTCTTCGTTATCATTACCTTAAGATAACTGCTGATGATTACTTTTCTGTTATTACTATTTTTTTGGGCATATGCTACTACGTGACGCCTTTAGACCTATTGCGTGCGAGCAGGAATATCAGATAGATTATAACCAACAGTAGGTACAAGGGATGATGATGATTGAGTAAAGTTGAAAATTAAAAAGGTTTTTCTAAGAAATTTAATAAATAGAATGCAAAACTTCAACATACCTGCAAAGAGCTACCTTGTTGAATATCTGTTTTATTCAATGCCAAGGTAAAATTATTTGTCTGTAGCAAAGATGACATATCAAATTAGTGCGAAAGAGTATAAAACAGATACTAAATGCTCGTCCATTAAAGTTATCTCGACACATCCAACTCACTGTTTTAAATTCTTGAAAGAATATGCAAAAAAGCAAGCAAAGAAACAAATAAAACAACAAACAAAACAACAAACAAGAACCAAACAAACCAACGGAAAAAAAACAAACAAACAAACAGAAAGAAAACCAGATAATACAGAGCAAAATCATCCCTAAGCAGAAATACTAGTGAAAAAAATAAAATACTAGAATAATAATTATAAAAAAGATAGCGATCATGACAATGATATTGATGATTATTATGATAAATTAAAAGTGACATATCATGAAAATGATCATATTTGAAAATGAGTTGCATGTTACAGCAACTAGTGTGACACTGTGTATGCATGTCATCAGGGTATGTTTAAGCAATACCTACCAATTCTTCTGTTTTAGAGGTCTTTTTTGATCCTGTAGGAAGTTGCGGTGATGTAGTTGCTGTTTGTACTTGAAATATAGCTTGAAAAATAAGCTTATCATAGAGTTGAATCATTCTTATCTTTACGTATCCTTATACGGTCAGAACTTTGCTTAGAAGAGAGGCAATGGAACACTATCAAACCAAGAAGTGATCAACGGGTATCTTCTTCAGAAAACTGCAATACACTATTTGCTCTAGAGAAGAGAGGACATCGTCTTTGCATTATCAACTCACTTGATAGAACCAAACTATCTTGCAGTACTCTCAACCAAAGAAGCACCTTAGTTTCTTTAGAAACCTATCCCCTTTATTCACTGTTCAAATATGCGATAACAAAAGCGAAGGAGTTATCAGCAAGAAAATGTCATTTTCATGAGATGTTTAAAAAGACAAGTTGCAAGGAAGAGATGAAAGTCAGCTTTCTTTGAAGCTTCGAGCTTGATAGACCGTGACAACACACCATTTCAAAAAGGAGAAGCAAATCAAAAGGATCTTTATCGCATTAATAAATTTTCTCCCATTTCGCTATGTGGTTTTCCTAAAAATACCTGAAAAGCATGACTTAAAATAGTCATCTTTGATTTGCTAACTTTAGAATGAGAATACCAAATTTCTCACCGTATATGTGAGTCATAGTAGCTTTGATATTTGTGGCTAGAAATACAATACCTTTTGATGTTAATAGGTAGAGCTGTGCCACTTTGGACGCATTTGGAGCGGTCAAAGTTATTCTGACAAGGGTAAATGCACAGAGGTTCTTTTCGGATGCAATTATGTTTACACCTACATGCAATTATGTTTACATTAGTCGCTGCATGTCTAACAGCAAGTACCAATTCTGTCATTGCAAGTCGATTAGAAGTTTCGCTTGCTCCAAGCGTATTGTCACCAAATCAAAAATTTTTAGCATTGCAGATTTGGAGACATTTGCTCGAGCTGCATTTCGAAAAACAAAAATTTACATTTACGTTGCAAGTCTGATTGCATGTTGTTCCCTGACAATCCAAATGACATGTATCTGCCTACATTGCACTTCGTTACAGTTCCTCTTACATGCGCAAATTACCTCGCACAATCTTTAAGGTTTTCAAAGCAAAATGTTTATTAAGTAGTCTGCCTGGTAGATGCAACCGTTTTGCGCGGGAGTTGTCTCGCCCCAAAAAAATTATGCCCTGACTCAGGGAAACCATATCAAAGGTGATTTTTTGGGCAGAATTTATCAGAATGTCTTCAATAAAAGAATTCGTCCGACAAAAAATAACCCAAGAAATTCACGCTCTTCAAACCGATCAGAGCGCTTTTAATACGTTTTCGGTTTTGCTTAGGTCAATGAGCAGATGGTTGAAAAAACTGAATAAATGCGCGAGTAATTTGGGACAAACTTGGAAAAGAAACACTGAAAAAAAAATTAAAACTAAATCGACTTTTGGCCGCATTTTCCGATGGTTTAAGTTATTAATTCTCATCCGCAATGTTCTGCTACGTCTAATTTATTAGGATATGTAGATACAACGAATATGAGAGTTAAAAGAATCCTTGATCCCTATGGCGAGAAAAAATTTTCGAAAAGAAAAAGTAATAATCTTCACAACAGAATCCACACTCACCTAACGAGGAGACCAGCAACAGAGCTGCAGTAAATTTATGGAAATCATCCATTTGTTTTGAGGTTAATTTGTTGTCCCTTTGCCTTCAGTCGGACCAATAAATGTGTTGAGATCAGCGAGTTATCTAAAAGCAACCAAAATATTATTTCCGTATTGTGCGTATATATTATAAATATCTTTGAGATCAGTGCAAGATTGCTGTTAGTTGATTCTGAAAGAGCTTTCTCCTGTAAAAGAATGAATTTAGCTTACATTGTTGTTTTTACGTCTGCAGTCAGGCTTTTATAGAGCTGTTATTTGTTTATGGCTCGAAGCACAAAATTGGTTGTCATGCAAATTAATGACATCTGGACGTTTATGTTGCATTTTGACTGAAACGTCACTTAATCAAGGGAATTTGAATATTAGAATAGCAAAATAATTTAAATTAATGTTTAGAAACACTTTTCTAGAAGTCTTTAACTATCCATAAGCTGAAATATTATCCTTGCAGCAGCCAACTTTTCCTTCGTTCAAGCCAATTGCACTAAAACCTTACCAACGCATTCAAGGAAGTGGTAACAGGATGTTTTAATATATTTGTTGTCCATGTTCATTAAGAAATGGAGTAGTTCTCAATTGTCTCACAATTATTCGCCCTCGTCACAATTCACGCAGTCCTGGCTTAAAATGTGCGCACTCCCGTTTTTAACCATCTGCTTTCTACTTCACTTGTAAGTTCCTTTCTATTCTACGAATACATAATTACTGAAGTCAGAATTAAGAAACGCCAACAAAAATACATATATAGATGTTCGAATAATATAAATTGTCTTGCTTCAAAGGCATGACTTCTTCAACGTACGCAATATACACGCCTTTTTTTTCATTTACATCACACAATTGAGAAGATAACACAGTCGTCTTGGTAACCAGATATGCCAGCTACACCGGTCATCTTTTTCAAGAAACATGACAAAGTTAAATTATTTCATACGGTGCAATCGTTTTCGTTAAAAAAAAATTAGCAAAATAATTTGCGGGAAACAATTATTAAACGGTTGATCGTTTTGTCTCACCATGTAAAGTCGATTTATCATTTGCAGTTAATCGCAAGATAAACGATTAAACCTTCATTTATTCATATAGCCTAGATGAACAACAACATCTGTATGAAATGAGAAAAGTTGAAATACCTCTGCCTTTTAATTTGAAGATTTCGTCGTTCATCTTTTGGAGTAAAATTCAAACTGATCGACAAGAAAATTATTTCTCTGTACTTTGGATAATAGGTGTAGATCCCGACACAGAACACATCTCTGGAAATAAGAAGATGCTGTTATTAAAAGAAAAATGCCTAATTCAGAGTTATTGATTGGATTGCTCAAAAGCGCAGGTGAAGCTTTCAGGACCTTAATTAAATTCTCAGAAAGGCAAATAACCTTTTTTCATAAAATGATTGAACCATTTTAAATGTCATTCTGCTAAAATACAGTTGTGTAAACTATGATTACGGTCCACGTTCAGTCTCTAAGTGCCACCAAAAATAAATAAAATGGAAAAAGGAAATAATAATCCATTTTCCAGCTATACGTGGGAGGACTGGAGGCTTGCTTCATTATAAAAAGCTCCTTAGTTAGCAAAGTTTCTTTGCGGATGAAAAATATTAAAAGGGGGTAAGTTTCTAAAGAAACTGTGGTGCTGCGTCGGTGGGAGAGTAGAACAGGGTAATTAAGAATTATCAACGGAGTTGGATTTAAATCGCTCAGACGAAGGGTTAACGCTCGAAACGTCAGACTTTTAACTCCTTACGACGGCCAATTTACTTTATCAACTCAGTTGATAAAACTAAATTACCTTGAAAATGTCACATTACTTGTGGCTAAAAAGAAAATTAAAAATAGAGCTACTTTGAATCTTAAACTTCCTTGTGTGAATGCAAAACCGGAAATTGTTCCGCAAAATACTTCGAAAGTAGAGGAAAGGAAAACTCTGAAAGACTGCTTGAGCATTATTTTTAAGATCCTGAAATACGCATCTGCCGTAATATTTCCCTCCCCACCCTTGGTTTTGATATCGACGATAAGTTGCAATACTCCCCCGACAGACACAACGAGTTAATGTCACGTAATTTGCTATTCCAAAGATTTACGTATGTAATAATTCATAAAGCTAAACAAGAAGTGGCGCGAGACAAATTCTCTTTAATTTCATTCATGTATACATATCTTTCTAAGTCATTTCTGTATCGATTTTTTTTATCATCATTCATCTTAGAAATGATTTTTCCGGATGAACGGGACAGTAGAATATTCAACATTCATAACGATGCGCTGGATCTGATATACTGACTCAGGACACTCATTGCGGAATATAATTCGAACCACTTTTTATCGTTAGTATTCCGTTCATATGCATCCAGAGTTCTTTTGACATTTATTACTCTTAGATATATACCACTTTCTTGACACGAGGCATGAAAAATACGCAATAAGATACTAACAAATGAATAAAGTTTAAAATAGATCTGAACTGCAGATTGACGTCGTATCTGTTACATATTTGTTTATTTGTTCATTAGTCTTTTGGTCATGAATTATTTTGATTCACATTCAATTTGAATTTATCTACGACATAGCCTTTGGCACACAACTACTAAATAAATAAAGGAAAAAAAATGAAAATGCGTTAGTTTATGTCAAATGATGAGGCACATGGGTGGATCCAAATTTTTCATTTTTAGCCAAAATATGCTTTTCACGAGTGCTGAAGATAAAAGACAAACATCATAATTATTCATTTATTATAACTTAATGTAGCATTATTCATAGCATTATGTCGGATTCTATTTAAGCTAAGGCCCGCGGACTGACTTTTGTCGCTTGTGGCGTTGGCTTCAAGCTGCTTTAGCCACCTTTCAAAGAGACTCTCGGCCATAAAAACAGACGCGAGACTTTGAGGCGAGATTTCATGATCGTACAAGACTCACGATTTTTCGAGTGCCATTCGCTGCTCTTCTAAATGTTAACTTATCTCAACACCTCCCTGCACTATAAGGACGACTTAAGTTTTCATGACATCATTATAATTAATGACTAACGATGTGAACCAGAACGACTTAACTTAACTAACGCATCGAGATTGAACATCGATCTACCGTCGTCAGCTCTATCATACTAAGTGACTGCGTATTCCCAAAAGTCGATTGAATCGTTTCTTTTTTCCAAATAAAGAGCTACTCATTGAAAGACTGCAATTCAACTGCCCACATATCGCCGGCATCATTTGGATCAATTTTTGAGGTTTTCTTTCCATGATCCACAGTAGCTGGGAAAATGGTGTTCATCTTCCTTTTCAATCGCTCTCTAATCTGTAGATGTACAAGCGACAAAATATAAGTTACTGAGCACTCAAATCTTGATTTATGTCAAAATCAATATCATGTTCTTGGTGTGTATCCTCAGGTTCGTATCCGTCTCACCTGGCTGTTTCGCAAGCAGTGAAGGGCGAAAATCAGGAAACCCTAAAACAGAAAATTATTTCAAGATCAGCCTTAATTTGTCGATTTTGATGAGCAGTGACAGAGGGTCGTATGAGATATTTGATGCAGTGAGTTTATCATCACGTATAGTTCTCTTATAAAACGTAATAAAAAGGGTGAAAAAAATTTGCTAAAGCAAGTTGCATGTCTCATAAACCAAAGGATAATTTTTTCATATTGATTGGCTAATTGAATGCTCTTTGTTTCCAAGGTTTTTTTCACGAAAATATAATATGATGGATATGAGAGGATCTGGTTTTGGCTTATAAGTAGTATGAGCATTAATGTATTCATACAGACAACTGATAATCGACAGTTTTACTCATAAGCTCACCTGCGTAGAATTGAAGATGGTGAAAATGTAGGCGAAAGCTTTGTGTAATGGTAAAAAAAGACCAAATAGCCACGTAACGCCCAGCAGTGGAAACATCACTAGGCATGTTCTTACGCCAAGTCTGAAGATTAATGACAATACGTGACTTGTGGAATTAGACGTTCGTAGTTGACCTTTCAGTTGAAGTCGTAACGCCTCGTTGTTTATGATTAACTAGTAGGGAACCAACTGAATTAGCCAGATACCTCAGAGCTCGCTCCTATAACAATTCGTTTTCGTGTGCTTGTTTTTCCCTAATTGCACTCATTACAATCGTTTGGTCAAATGTTAAAGTTTAGATCCTACCGTATTTGCTGAATATGGTTGGCTTCTTCTATAGGTTGTACAAGTTTGGTCATCTCCTTTATGACTCGGACCAGTATCGAAATGTTAAGCTGAAACAAAAAATTGATACTTTTAATCATAAGATATCGTTAAATAGAAAAAAAAATTTATCTGTCTTGTCAGAAGCGTCGCAAAAAGGAAAATTATGAATCCCCAATCCAAGTCTTCGAGTCACGTGCCCCGATTCTCCAAGAGAGACTAGACAGCTAAAGCGAACCAGGTTCATAAATGAAAAGCGTTCCTTCATACTGCTAAAATCAGAAATACTGTAAAAATTGTGTGAGTGATAGAATAATAGAAATATGGCAAACTTTGAGTATGGTCGTCGAGAATAGAAATGCGTTCTTCCTGGTACATTAAAGAAATAATGAAGAATCTATCATTGGTCGACTTACACCTTCAATGAACGCCACAAATGCGATGAATATCCAGATCAGGTTGTCAGCGGAGGACAGCCAACAGCTTGAAATGAGATGAGGACAAAAAAAAGACGGATTTGAACGAAATAGCTCCTTCAACCTCCCCGTGTCAAAACACCTTAGAAGCGAAACATTAGTCAAAACACACACGAAAAAAATGAGTTTATGTGAAAGACGGAAAAGACGGAGAAGGATATGAGACTAGTAGAGAGGGAACTTCTTACTATTTATCACTGGTATAGCTTTGAATTTCCTCTTTTCCAGCAGCGATGCTTAATGAAATACCGACCATGATGATGGGTAAACCTGAGTATAAATAGGAGGAACTCCACATAACTCACGGAATTACATATCCAATCAGAAGCGATTCAAAATGAGGAAGGTACCAATAACTCACAACAATTAAAGTAACGTACCCCATGAGATGACGTGAAACATGTGCATCTTTTCGGTGATGTTGTAAACTTTCACAACAAGCAGATAGAGATAAATTGCCTCGATCAGCATCCAACAGAAAGCAGCCATTAGGAAATACTGCGTCAGAGCTGCTACTGCGACACAAGCAGTCTGCGAGAGAAAAAAATAGGTTTTTTTTTACTCTCCTATTTACAAAATTTAATAAGCTTTAAAATAATTTTTTTTTTCAAATAAGGGATTTATAAATGACTCACCGTGTCTCTCGTGGAGTTTATCCCGGCGAGAAAGATTATTTGTCCAGCTCCGATGGCCACAGAGAGATTCAAACGTATTTGAGACAGAGGTTGATCAACATCACTAGTAAAAAAACCAAAATAAAAACAAGCAAACAAACAAAACAAAACGAATAATTCTATGATAACGTATAATACTCATTTCATGTCGTAGCAGATGAGGCAATTTAATTACTACTGCTACTGGAGAGGAAAAATTTTATCTTTATTTTATTCTTCCTTATCCATAGCAAATATAATCATTATCATAAGGATTGCTGCGACAATTCTTCAAGGTTCAAAATTTAAAAAAAAAAAACTAGACATTGGTTATACGTTTTCATAAAAAAAAAGGTACAGTTAACTTGTCAAAATGCGAGACAACAACGCGCTCACATGACGTATTCTGTGCACTCATACAGCCATGGGGTCTTAGCTGTCCCTTTAACTATCCTATTATACCTTCCAATTTCAAGCATGACGCACACACTGTCCTATTAGTGCTGAAATCGGGCTGGTGATAGCCAATTACGTGCGAATTTTCTTAGAGTTTTGATTAATCCTTAAATAGTCCACCTACAGTACTCACGTGAGGAAGTAATAGGCTATAAGTGTCAAAAGTATCCCCGTCGTGGAAAGGCTTAATCCTACGTAAGTGATAATTTCCAGTATGGTTGTGTCCTTCTCGGTGAGCTGTGACACAAATTTCATTATAATAAAAAAGAATGTTACCAAAATCAAAAGGATTGTATTAAAAATGTTAAAGGTACGATTACCTTAGGGCTACCGTTGTAATCGACTAAAACGGCAAAATGGGTCAAATGATTGCAGCTGCAAACTGTGTCTGGGAAGTGTTTTTTCGATTTTACAACGTGACATCCTCTCTCTGAATATCCGTCTGAGCTGCAAAAAAGAGAAAACAGAAAAAATACAAAAGGCACCTAATCACGCAAGAAATATTAAAGAAAAGCGGAACAAAAAGAAACAATTATTTCCTTCTCCTACCGAGTTCAGAACCTAAACGCTTTTGTTGACTTATGATTTCGATTGTTGATATTTACACAAAATACTCCTTAACCTGTCTACCTGATTTGCCGCCAAGAAACAATTTACTACCGGGGAAAAAATATATATTCCAGTTCCTTACCTTTCACTGAAGCTACTCCAAAACACGCATTTCTTCTCTCCTTCATCAGCCTTAAAAAATACATTTTAAATCTTTAGAATAGACTTAACGCAGATTAACTAGTCTTAATTTTACTATCTCTGTTACCCTGAGATTTCTGAACTTGAGGATGACATTTTCTTGCAATGCTTCCGGTTTTGGATCCATAGCTACAGCTATTATCCTGGAGTCCAAATACCTATGAAGAAAATTGAATATGAATGAAAACAGAAAATGTTGAAAGTATGGTTATCATTGGGAATAAGGCAAGCTAAGACCCTTTTCAAATCAATGACAAATTCGCAGTTACTTCATAGACGATTGGCTGATGGTGATTGACAAGCAGAACACCAGCTGGGTTTTGACATTTTTTCAACATCACTTTTGCTGAGCCCGCAATTTTCTCTTTTTTATATACAATTAGAGCTGCATTTGGTTGAGAAAATCAGGGAGATAACGCCACCTTTCTTTTCCTGTTTTATCCCTGATGGGTTGATCTGTGAGTAGTACTTCGTGGAGATCCGTGTACACAATCCCAACAACCAGCGACACTAAAGGAAAAAAAAGGAAAAGGATATCGATCTCTGTGCAACTTGACAAACCAATTGCTATTTGGAAGGAAAACAAAAGTACATTGCAAATTAAGGGTTAAAAAAAGTAGTCGACACAAACCATTGTTCGCAAAATTTGCTGAGGAAACTTTCATGCTCGCTTGCAATTCTTGTTCTCCGAAATAGAAGTCATTGGCACTTTGTCGGTGGGCTTTTTTAAAAACCAGTACTGAAGGAGAAAGAATAATGGATGGTTCAGCTGGTATTGAACTAAACAATAACATGTGAACGCACAAAGGCATTTCTTCTCTTTACCTCTCAAAAGTTACGGTTCTTTACGACCATAAAAACATCGACGAGAAGAGTTTTAAGAGGCGTTTATTTTTTTCCTTTTTGAAATATCTTCAAATGCCTTCCTCTACTATCGTAATTGAAAAATAAAAAGTCCAAGTCGGGGAATAGATTGACCAATTTGATCCAATAGTGACGTTTCTCAACAGATCACGTGCATAAACTGTCACATCGTCTAAGCAGTTATCTATTTTGTGAACCACTCACCCACTCAGTAGATAGACAAGTGCTATATCACCCCTGATCTGAAAAGATGGTTGTGTTCCGACTCACCCATTTTGCGGCTTTTTATCACTTCTAAAGACCTCATCCTAATCAGGTGGTGCTTGCTATAACTGAGAGCATATCTCTCGAAGTTGACTGCCACCTTGAAAATTGATTTCCTTCTTGTTTCAGCCTCTTCAATGATAGCAGGTTTCGTGATGTTTTTAATACCTGTGAAGAAGTCCTCGAAAACTCCTATGGCCTCCTGTAGTTATATGAAATACTTTTTGGTAAGGTAATAATAAGACGATAATTACTTGGCATTAATGCAAGTCAAAGAATAGATCTGAGTCTCTAATAAAAATTCCAAAAAGACTAAAATACCTGTATAGAATTGTTTCTGGTGACATCTATTCTGGCAAGTTTAAAAACATATTCCCTTACCTAAAAAGGAGAAAGTAACAGTTACACTTATGGGCCAAAGGCAAGCACAGGGGCTATGATTGAATGGAGTACGCACCAGCTTCTGAATTGTTCTCGACGTCGACGGCAACGGCGATGTTGAAGTCGGAGGGGACGGTAATGGCAATGGCGGTGGCGACAACAACGGTGATAACGAAGCACAAGGTGATTTAGAGAGTAAAAACGAGGACGAAGGTGTGGATGAAGGCGAGGACGTGAGTGAGGGTGAGTGCGACGGCGACAAAAACTTCAAAGGCGACTTTTTCGGTGACGATGATGACGACACTTGCGGTGATAGAGCCGATTGTGTCCATGTCGACATCAATGGTGCAGAGAGTGCAGCAGGTAACGGTGAGAGTGATGATGTTACCACTGATATTGATAAATTTAGGGGGGAAAAAAGAATTTTTTAGCATAAATAGGACATTCTGTTGTAAAGAACGCATACAACAGCTACAACACAAAATAAGTTTAGGAATAGATGTTGACCGACCATCCAAATCTCTAAAAGAAACATAATACCTTCGATTAAAGCAAAGCCCATGACTGGAAGTATTTTCAATTACTGTTACTCCTGTTACTGATACAGATAGCAGGCGGGCAAACTATCACTTATAAACCTGCAATCGTTTTTACCCGAGGGTAAACCTAAGACCTGTATATTATGACAGTTATTAACTCTTTCCGGGCACTATGGGCTAAAATGGAGTATTTGGTGGGCTAAGATGCATTTTTTTTCTCGACCAAACTTCATTCATAATACTGGAAGCAAAAATTCATCTTGATTGTAAGAAGCTTCATAGTTTCATAGATGATCAAAATAAAGTGGCAACTTAAATCGATCAAGAGTTATGGTATAGACCTCTAGTCAATTAGCGTGAATTTCCTGAAGCTTCTAGATAAAGGCGTCTGTACATAAGTTTACCTATTTTGTTATCAAATGTAAAGGAAACGCTACAAACAAACGGCTAGTTTTTATGTGAAGGTACAATAATCTATCAATAATAATACTGTATAGTAACATTATTTGCATAGCCAAATCTATTTAAATTATCATTGCTTTCAATGATGTCGCAAAATCAAAACTTATTGACATAACACTAACATAACCATGATTACACTTCACTTACAATACCATAAGTGGGTAGCATTTCTACTCATCGTTTCGTCTGATCATTTTAACCCTTTTCCGATTATGTTCGCAACTGTTAAAACTGGCATTTTACTCTCCCAAGAAAGCTGAACGCCTGCTGAAGCCATCTTGGTTTGATTTTTAGCAAGGGCTGGGTACAACCTAGGCGAACTAACCGCTGACCTGCAAGGCGTTCGAAGGCGCAACTATAATGGAGAGACAGCATATATGTGGAGAGCTTGGAGAAGTTCAGTTTCCTGAAGTTCTTTAAAGGAGCACACAAACACAAAGAAAACAAACAGCAAGGAAATTCATTCTTTTGACAACAAAAATGTTGATAAAATTGGCGGAAAATGTTACGTTTTGCTTTTTGTGGAAAAGTGCCATATGAATAGCTCCTTGAGCCAAAGTAGGCCAAAGAAAATGCCAGCGTAATAGGGAAGGGCCCATTGTCAATCACATTGGCCTTACATTAAAGCTTCTAGCACAAAGCCACTTCTTTTCTAATATTAGTGAAACCTGCAGGATCCATAGTGATAACGTCTTAGCGTTTCAGGAATTCCCTGTACCTTAATTACTCTCTTTAAGACAGTTGTAGTTTTGAATTACCTTTATGAAACTCACAAATGTAAGGAGAATCTGCATCCCTAGCTCCAGATTTGACTTGCATAAATCCATCATTAGACTTCCAAGAAATGGAAGCTACCTCTCCATCAGGGTTAGACAAGTTTTTTATCCATTGCTGGAAATTTAGTTGTCTCCCATTCACCCAAGTCCAATTGCCAGCTTTTTTTTCTAAGCCAATATGATAAAATGTATCATTGAACTTCTGAATCTCTTTCTTGATAAAATTCCGTTCATCTTCTGTCTCTATGGAAACCAGGTCTCCTCCTTGGCTTCGACAATGGTCTCTGCTCTTGTTCCATGTTCCTCCCTTCTCCAAAAATGTGTACAAACGGTTTTCAAAAGAAGGATTTGGGCATACTACAAATGAGCGTAATAATGATAATAATATCAATGAAAATGATATAGACAATAACATTGACAAAGATGTTGCTAATGACAATGATAGTCTTAATTATCGTAATAATAATGATAATGATACTAATGATGAAAGTAATGATGATGATCATAGTCAAAGGTGATTCTAAACTAGCGAGAACACGTGTCATAAAACTTGATATTTTTTCCTAATATCTATAGAGTATTTGATCGATCCTTATCATGCAATACATCTCTCTCTATTTTGGCATTTTTCCTTATTGAAAGTGCTCTGATTTTACCTTCTGTTTGATGTCAGTGTAGATTTAAGAAATGTTACAGATAATGGTCTTTGAATGATATACACGAGATACCATTATAAAGGTTGCCAGATGAATATACGACGTCTTTCCACATAAAAGCATCACTTATAATAATCTGTGCATGAATTTTCGGTATTGAAGAAATCAGTCAGAAATCATTCCTACTTGTGCATATATGATAAATAGAAGATATAAAATGACCGCGTAGGGATACGAATTTTATCTTCTCGTGCCGAAAGTATCTCTCACGAGTGTGAGAGGATAAAAACGAAGATAAAACTCGTATCCCCAAGCGGCCATGCAATGATCTGTTTATTTAATTTATACTAATGAAATTTCAAAAGAACCGGCCGCGCGCCTGAGCTGGAAGCTCTCTTGTAATTGGCTGATCATGTTTGTAACCATGGCGACACCAATATCCTCAAACATGAAAGATAAAAATAGTATCTTCACTGCACGCGATGAAGATATGACTTGTTAGTAAAAGGAAAATACTGGTATTTCATCAGTATGTGTACAATAAAATTGGATCTACATTGCTTCACCTGGTCCTTGCAGTTGCATCATCAAAGTAAGGGTAACTGCATAAGAGAAAACAAAAATATACATTGCTTATAACTAGAAGACTATTATTCCAAACAAAATAAGACTATTAGAAGAAGCAATTCTCGAAAAGAGATATAAGGAGAGAAAACTGGATCGAGGGGAAAATAGGTTAGCAACGTGTGTTAATTCAATGATATCTAAAAAGAAAACAGAGAGAGAGTTAAGGGTTTAAGCATTTTCTTTCTCTTTTCCGAGCTGCTGCTGAAGGAATACCAGTTAGTTCTAAACTGACAGCATTTTTCTTTTATTTAACTGAATTTAACAGTTATTGCAGATTGTGTGTATAAGACAGTTGATGATGTCACGTGAACACGTCCCATGTTACCTAACCTAGACACGATAAAAGTTGAACGACTTAAGATTTTTTAGGTCTCATAAGCCTAGCTTTTGCTATCCTACCCATAAGCATTTTAATATGTGACCCTCCACGTGGTTTCAAGGAATAAGGTGAACGCAAGTACACGGCACGTTCTAACACGCTCGCACGCCAATGGCATGACACGCTTACCGTGCAGTTATGCGCATAAAAACAATTGATCTTGGAAAGCGTTTTCGTAGCCATTGTTCATATCTTGCTAACACGGTAGAGCTTTGTTTCTAGAACACGCTAGATTTTTTTCTTTTCAGCGAGCTAAGTTCCACTGTTTCCTTACCACGCCAGCTTATCTTGTACACCCCAACTCACTTTGTTACTTATGTTTATCATCTTCTTAATTGTGAGAATGGTTTTTTTGCGAAGTATATTACTAACAGAATATAAGCAAAAATAAAGAAGATCTTATGTCCTGTCCGAAAGTTGTAAGAAAAAGAGTAATATTGACGGCAAATCTTTCCCTCAGGATTTTCACACGGAATTCAATGAGCACGACGTGTTTTACAAGGTCTAGAGGAGCTCAGTTTGAACACATGAATTACTTTTTTAAACTTAACTCTTACCTTGTAAACTATAAATCCTTATCGCTCTATGTACAAATCGAAAGAAACTTCAACTTTAAGTGGCGTGTCATATTGTTCGAAGTTTCGGGCAAGATCTTAACACGTTCCTTTGCTTCTACCATGCGAAGCAAGACAATGGCTGCGAAGTTAACGAGGCAAGTAACTAACACGCAGCTCACGTGTTAAACCTAGTTCTTTTGATTTAGCGTGTGTACGCTCACCTTATTCCCTAAAATCCCGTGGGGGATTACATATAAGAAATTTAGGCATGCTCTAACCACCAGTTTTTCTGTAAATCTGAAAAAATCATGCCACAGTATTTCGAAAATAAAATCGGTGTTTCACTATTATTATTATTGTTATTATTATTATTATTTTATAGTGAGGCGCAAGTTCGCATGTCAGAAGAAAAGATTTACAGCAGAAATTTGAAGCTACATTTTTTCCTAGTCGAGAACGGTGTATTTTTACATCTGAAATATTTTAATTTTTCAAATTAAGCGTGAAAAATATCGTAATCTTAATATTACGCTCTAAAGTTAGGTTGATTACATGAGGACTTTGCCTTCGCAAATTTGTTCTGAGCCATCAATAAGTAGATAGGAAAAGTAGACGGCAAATGATATGAAGAAAATGTGTACTCCTATAGGGTCTAGAGGATGCCAGTCAAAAAATTCGCTTCCAAGAAGCAGAAAAATGCTGTTCATAGTTCGAATTCAATCAAAGTTACACAGCATTATTGCAAAAACAATGAATATCATCAATTTGAACATTTTCGCCCTGGATATTTTGATGATTTATTTTATGACTTACTATTCTAACCGGAGTATTAAACTTTTCCGTTGCACATTCACTCAGCTTCAGATCTAAATTTTAGCAAAGAAACTTGAAGTAAAATCTCTTCACTACTGCTGATTAACATTCGTCTCGATAAACGGCAGATAATGGCGTTTTAGCTTCCGAATTGCTAACAGGCTCGTTTCTGTACGTAATGTAATAGTGTCTTCCTTTTGCATGTGCTCCTCGTCAAGACAAAGCAGTAATGAATTAAAAGCTTTACTTAATATATCATTTAAACTGCATGCGAACAATTGTTTCCTGGCTAATCGTTTTCCAATTTTATTTTTCCTCTTATCAGAATTTAGAATAAACATTGCGAAAGGCTCGAAACCCCAATTCAATTATTTTCATCGCTTTCGTAGTGAAAGTAATCATGAAAATTTTCAGAGAGCTACATGAGGGCCACTTGGCTTTATGCTTCTCAGTTTTGGCTAAAGGGATTCATGATGTTTGCATCTATCTGAAATATCTCAGATCCCTGTTTCATCGTTCACTTCTCGCGTAACCAAGAGATGTGATAAAGCTTTTACTTACTCAGCGAAAGACGTAGAGACCGGTCTGTGAACATTTTGCCGGATTGGAGCTTACTCATCGCCCAATTTATCGCGTTACCATAAGAAAATGTCGGTAATCCAATGATGGCTCGAGACTTGGTAGCAGCACATGTATGGCACCCGCAAATTTTTAACGAACGTTGTTCTCTTTGGCAGGAGGTTGAATGTTATAGACAGCTCAAAACTCGATTGCTCTTTCCTTACGTGAGTGACTAGTTTTTTTTTTTTCTAAATGAACGGACCAATGGCCTTGAGGTTATTTTCACTAGGCGCAAAGCGCTGTTTTGTTTTTTTCCTTTTAAAAACTAATTTATGAGCCTTGTTTATAAAAATATTTGCCTTATTCAAATCAGCATCCTGCCAACCGGAAGCAAGTGCGAGTATCTCATCTGTTCATCAGCACGAATGGAAATAATCATCATCTCTCCTTCAAACAGATGAAGCTCCTCGATGAAAGCGGTACCTTCGTAAAAGGGAATGATTCGGTCACATGTACATGCAAGTGTGCTTATTAAAATCTACCGTAGAAGGGCAAGAAATGTCTGTGAACTATTTGAAATCAACTCGTAACTTCTAATGAAAATTAAAAATTCCTCTCTCGCACTTTGTTATAATTGTCCCACTTTATAAAAACACTTATCGCACTTTTTGATTAAAAAAGCTCTCGCATATGACGGACCAACACACTTTATAAAAAAGTTAGCTGACGCGCACTTGTCATACCTTATAATAACACTTGTCGTACTTTGTAATAACACGTCATATCCTTTGTTATAACACCTGTCATACTTTGCAATAGCACGTCATACTTTGTAAAGACACTTGTCATATTTTGTTAAACACTTGTCGTACTTTGTTAAAAAAAAAAAACCCATTGTGTGCAGTGTTGTCATGGTAACCTTGTCATATCATCTATTTTGGTGACGCTGTCAACCAATCAACTCTTCAAAATTTCTCGGCTTATATTATACCATATGGTCTGTTATTGCAAAGTGCGACAAGTGTGATCATAAAATACGACAGGTGTTGCAGAGTGCGACGATTTTTACAAAGTGCGAAAGAACAACACTTCCGATCACAGTCCTTTAAGGCGGTTTTGTCACTATTATTTTTTGGCTTGTGGAGACGCAATTTATTCTGAAACATTTATCCCAATACCTTGCCCAAGCAAAAAACAAAGGAGAGCTTTTTTCGACGAGGTGTCAAGAGGAGCGATCTTATCAGAAGTTAGTTTAACTAAATTTTCAGACACGGCCTCCATGAAAAGCAGTTTTATTTTCACTGCTTGAAGCGCAGGAAAACGCGTATGACTTAGTCGTGTTCGGTTTAAGTTTGGTTTCTGATTGGTAACTGTCGGTCGATGCTTTGTATCCCACGCTATTGACAGGTCTTATCTGATCAGAAGTAAGTTTAAATAAATTTTGAGACACGGCCTCCATGAAAAGCTGTTTTTATTTTCGAGGAATTTTTTAAATTTTTGTTGTTTTATTTAAGTAGATAGTTTGGTATCTTAATTGGACAAATGGAAGCACCGTGTATATGAAATAAAGTTATCGTATCGCAAGCAGCACTTAATTCATTTCTACAGGGAGGAGGTGAAAGTGTAGAAAATATTTTGTAAGATGAGACTCAAGGAAGCAGGAGCTTAATAAAAAAAAATGGAAATTAAAGATAGACCACAACTGTCAATAGCGTGGGATACAAACCATCGACCGTCAGTTACCAATCAGAAACTAAACTTAAACCGAAGACGACTTGGTCACGCACGTTTTCCCGCGCTTCAAGCAGTGTGCCTGGTTTTACTGCTTCTCGTGATAATTTTTTTTTTCTGATCGGCTTTTATCGTGGTTGATTCTTAATCAGAGAAAGGCTACACTTAAAAAAAAATTCCTCAAGAAGTTTCTTTGTGTCACGGTTTATTAACTTCAAAAGTCACTTGTTTTTAAAATTGTTTGGTAATGTATCCCCTGTTCTTTGACATTTTGGGCTAGCCTAACCCTAAGAAATTTCCTCAAAATAAGGCTAAAAACAAAACAAAAACGATGAAAAAATAGAATAGAAAAACCTGGAGTTACTCTAGAAGGTGTGTAATCCTCGTATCAATTCAATTTTCCTGTTATTGTTTCAATAAAGAACTTTCCTGAGGGTGACTCAATTATTAATTCTCAGTAAGAGTCAAATGTTAGTCTTTCATTTATGCTTTGTCGTGGAGCCTAGAAGACTATGCGTGGAGTCAAAACAACTCCGTAGTCTTATTAGCTGAAAAAATGATTTACGTGTTTTGTGTCCTTCCATTCACTCTGCCTAAAGAAGTTAAACCGTCATTTGAAACTTCTAGAGGTATCCAGTAAGATGAAAGATTTGATAGTCAAAATAATAGACTTCTGGAATTAAGAACGGAAATTTTACGTAATGCAAATCAATGAACCAAATCGAAGCACATTACCGTGTTCCGTCATGTGGTTCTGGCAAAGTTTTCCCACAATTTGAAATCATTTAAAACCAAAGGAAGATGATTGAAAAAAAACATATCATAAACGTTTATTCTGCCAAAAGGACAGGTGTAGTGAAAGTGATGCACGCGGAAAGTTTGGAGATCACGAAAGTAGCATAACAATTGCCTGAGACGAAGCCGAGAGCAACTCTAGCCTCTTTAGTGCTCTCCAAGCTTCTCAAGTGCGTCAATAACTCGACATTCGCACAGCTAGAAGCGTGCACTAATTCTTTTATAACAGAGCGGACAAAATTTGTGCATGAGAAACGAGTTCTAATACAATTGAGTCAGATTAACCCAAAAACCGTGAATAAAAGGGAAGGCAAATTGACAAAGAAATATTTCGAAACCAAAGCTTTACTCAAAGAAATTCTAACTTTCCTGCTTCGCGGTGAAAACCGTACGAATTTCTTGCATGTGCGAGACCTGCGTAATACACTGATGAAATTCACGGAAAGGAAACTGGCTACTGTAGCTTTGTGTTGAAAATTCTGAAAATTTTACGATTGAACCTCGCTTCTCGCTTCGATTCTTGGAAATTTTTTCGAAGATCAAAGTGTAACTTACTCTTTTAATATCTCATTTCTGGCCAGTTACAGTGAGTATTAAATACAGTTAGCAAATAACTAGTTAAAAAAACTGCAAATTGCGCACAAACAATATATATATATATAAAAGTTTACAAACAAATATATTTTGTACAAAACACAACTAGCTCGAATTAACAACGCAGTAGCTACTTAATTTGTTAATGTTTTTGTTTATGTATTAGGGTAGGTGGGAGGCTTATTTTTAGAAAATGTTTTCCCAAATAACTCGAAGTAAAATGCTTGGGCGTCATATAAGAGAGGATAGCTTTCTCATAAGATTGGATGGTGGCCCGTACGGGTATGGTGACACCCCCTCCACCCCTCCCCCCTTTCCCGACAATAAGCAGTTTTAAATTCCATTTCGTTAAGGAATTGCCATTATTTGAACCGTCTTATCATACAGTGTTACAGTATCTTATCCAGTTTCCAGCCATAAGTTATACGTCTACTTTAAGTGTTGAGCCTTGTGCAATCTTCCATAGCCACCTCCCCCCTTCCCCGTATAATGAATTAGGGACCTTTAACAGTTAGGACAGCAACGCCAATGAATATATATTTTTAGTTGGAACTTCGCGAATGGCTGGATGTGTTTACGATCTCTTACGGTTCCGCAAGTTAACCATAGAATAATGTATGAGAGAAACTTTGAGTTCAATATAGAAACTTGACTAATTTATCGTCGGGGTTTCCTTTCTCAGACCACGCAGATGTTGACGATTTCACGTTATCGTTTTGCAAAGGACGGCGAGGAAATGAACACAGTTTAAAAACGCACGTGCTGAGCTAATGTTCTGCTCATTAGATCCTTTGTTTAGCCTCGTTCTCGTTGCCGCCGCCGTCGTGGTTTGCTAAAGGTCCCTAATTGTTTTGCACACCCAAGGAATCATGCAGATGTCTATTCGAATCAGGAAAAGAAAAGGAATAAATTATTGATGCATCTAGAGACTGTCATATTGATTTCTTTAACGAACTTTCTTTTATGTTGATAGCTACAGACAAGAAAATATTCAAGTTTTGTAAAAAGCAGCTTTACTTAAAAAAAGAAAATATAAAACTTGAAGAGGGCATTTTTTTTTCCAGTGCACTGGTAAGATATTAAAATAACCTCAATCTCAGAAAGGCTGGAAACTGAACACTGTAGTGTAAGACGCAAGCGATGGTTTGTGCCCAGCAGCAAACCAAGCAGAATCTAGATGATGCCTTGTCATAAGTCTAATTATGATAATTTTAAAATAATGCGCAAACACAAATTTTTAACTCTTTAAGACAATTTACTTCGAAAATGTTCCCCTGAATAGATCAAAACATCAAAGAAAACTACGCATCCGAAAAACTACCAGGTTTCTTTACAGGTTACAATTCAACACGCGTCACGTGATAATCACGAGATCCGGTGACATTACACATGCGTTACATTTCGTGACATACTCTACTGCTAGCGTTACATTTCGAGGAATTCTACAATGATAAACTCTGGTAACAAGGGTTGTTTTTGAACAACATGAAGCACTTCAGAACACATGCGTTGCATTTCGTGACATACTCTACTGCTAGCGTTACATTTCGAGAAATTCTACAATGATAAACTCTGGTAACAAGGGTTGTTTTGTAAACAACATGAAGCACTTCAGAACAATTTTTCTTGTGATATAGCAGTTGATTTCAACATAATTATCAGGAACGTTTAGCAAACTACGACGGCGAAATTCTAACTAAAAATATTAATTCAATTTTGAATATATACTTTTAAAGTCCCCTTGGCAATTTGCTGTCCTAACTGCTTAAGGTTCCTATCATGAGAGACAGTGCTTTTTGTGAAGCCCATGGGTCACAATATTACTATAATTGTTAGCTACTTATCGTTATATATGCCAAATCATACCTTCACTTTGATTGGTTCTCACGATATATTGGAAGACAGATGCATAGATGACATCACCATTAAAAGCATTTTGCTATTTTACCATATTCAAGTTGCCACAGATCACAGATGAAGTGAAACATGGTAAGAATATCAGTGACACACTTCAGTGCACCACTTGTATGAAATTTTTATTCTAACCACATTTTAACATCATCTATGGTCTATAACTGAAAAGGCACACAGCAACATGGAATCTATTAATTAATACAAGTAACTGCATGTACAAAATTAGCATGATGCACCACTCGCTTGTTGGCTTTGTCCAACGCCCTCCATCAAGGGATCAACTTCATACTACAGGTGAAAGGAGGTCATAATCAGAATTAGTATTAAAGTTAAAAACTTGGATTGGTTCTCAACATACATTAATGTAATAATAATAATATTATTATTATTATTATTATTATTATTATATATTGACATATTATTATATTTGATATTACAGTATTATTACAAATATAATATAACATATCAAAATACATTGTAACAATAGCCTTGAAAAAATGACTAGTCAATTGATGAGTTGCACATTTTTGATGAGTGATTGATTTCTTACAACCACTCTCAGATAATGCATGACACTTCTGTAACTCCTAATTGCAGGACTGTGATTATTTTAGATGTTTCATTTATGTTTGATGTATTGGCAATTAAATATTGGTCCTGACCATCCTGTGTAATGACTGATTAGATTAATAATTATGCAGTTTCATAATGAATGTCATTAAATTGCAATTCCATGAAGTCAAGAAATGAGTATCACAGGTGATTTGCAATTTTAGCACTTGCAGAGAAAAAAACCCTGAAAAAATTCTGGTTTTGGTGGGATCCAAACCCATACCCCCAGATACTATTTAATGATTGAGCTACAAAGCCACATGATGGAAGAGAGGCAAATTTCAAGAAGTTTCTTCTTTCCCCAAGAGGCATCTCTAGAATATTTGCCCACTCTGTTCCTATCTGATAACAATTTTAATGAAATAAATTCCATCAGATTCCTCCACAGGGAAGAAGATTGAGAACCCTCTCAAAATTGGCTAATCACAGCTCAGTTGTGGTAGTACCCAAATACATGTATAAGCTGGACGGCAAAGATTCAAAACTCATCAAAGCCTGGTTTTTTCCTAGGTTCTTTTTTGCATATACCAAAAATTTCCATTCACTTGCATGGATCCTTTCAGTTCAGTTCAACTTGTTCTTGAAGATTTTATTTTAATGTTTATTAATTTCCCTCTCGCCTTCAATAGCTTTGCTATTTTGCAGGTAGAAATAGTGCGATATGCATCTTAATTGCTGAGTCAGAGGTAAATAAATTTTGTTGTTTGTTGTCCTTATTGATCATCACTTTACTTGATATACTAACTATGTATCAAAATCTTTGTCCATGAGCTCTCAACTTACATCGTCATTCTTGTCCATTGGCTTTTGATCATTGACAAAGCAGAGGGCGGCAGACCATAAAGCTGCAATCATTTCCAGCAAAGTGAATGCAAAGATGGAGCCCACAAGGGCATGCTCCTCATTGTAACGAGCATCAACAGCAAGAGGTACTTTAGCAGCAGTGAAAGAGTTGTCATCAAAATCACGGTTGCCAGAGGTATAATATAGAAATGACCTTTGGCCTGCCACAGCCAATTCCAGCCCATAATTAAACATGATCATGCTTGAGAGAATACCACACACCAGGGAGAAACCCATCAATGTCATTGCCTTGAAATATAAAAATGGAGTTTGTAGAAGTTTAACAACTTGAGTACTGTGTGTTTACACTCTCTAAATATTTAGGAATTCCATGGCAACCACAACAGATAAGCAAACATTTCAGGACTTAGTTGTTTAAAGACCCATTACTGCTAACCCAAGGTTAACTTTTAATCTGGGTTTCTTTTTTCCAAATTCCTTTTCCGCATTTTTTTTTCTTTTTTTTTCTTTTTTCTTAAGAGCATCCAATAATCAAGTTCTTGACAAAAACAATTATACTAAAGTTTCTTTTCAAGCTTTCAGATCTGAAATCAGATTTCACAAGAACCTTTAGTTACATGTATCTTGACCAAGCTTTGAACAACCCAGCCCTGATCAAAGTACAAAATAACCAACTAAGTTTACACTTGATGTTAACCCTCTAACTCCCAGAAGTGATGAACATGTAACCTCTCCCTGCAATATCTAAAAATTATCCAGCAAACAGGTAATGAGAATATTCAAACTTATCAGGTACAAATTGTTATCCTGATCCAACACCAAATTCTTGTAACTCATTTACAAGGAAATGTGTAGCAGTTAGAAGGGAGAATTAACAATCAGATCTTGGGGAGTTAAAGGTTTAAAGAATCTCTGGGTAACCATTTAGATGGCATGCACAAAGTACAAAATGAACATTTGAAACTAGCATTAACAGTTACTAAGTGTTGAAGAAGTCTATCATGGTAACCACACTGAAAGAATACAACAGGTTAATTATAAGAAACCAAGTTCTCACTCACTAAAAGTTAACAAATCTTAAGGTAACCAGTTTCATCAAAACTGTGACAAAATTATTGAACATGATTGGTTATTACCAGTGCAATTTGAGCACTAACAGGATGGTGCATGTGTCATGCTTGTAATTGGACAGCGTAATATGACAGTTGACATATCATGCTTGTGTAAGTGAGCAGTAAATGTCATGTGCATACAGGTGCTGTTGTCATGGATTTTCAGTGTAAGTTGTTTTTTCTTTTATGAAAACCTATAATCAGTGCCCATAGTTTCTTTCTTAAATTTTGTCATAGTTTTGATTGATTGGTAACAGGACTTTGTCACCCAATTCTGTCTGTAATCATACTTGTGATTAACAAATTGGACTCCCATTGTGCAGTAATCCGATTTTGTAATCACTTGTATAATTATAGACTGAACTGGCCTTCACTCAGTCCTATTACCATTATAAATGGCATGAGCAAAGAATAAAATGAACCTTACATGTACAACTAAAATGTAGAGGAGGTCCATTGGCAACCACAATATATGGAATACATGTACATCAAGAAAAAAATGATCAGGTACAAGATAGGTTTACATCATGGCAACCACAATATATGGAATACATGTGCATCAAGTTAAAAAATGATCAGCTGCAAGATAGGTTTACCTCATGGCAACCACAATATATGGAATACATGTGCATCAAGTAAAAAATGAACAGGTACAACATAGGTTTACTCTTACTAAAAGTAAAAGAATGTCAAGGTACAAAACTGTAACCACTGTACCTGGCAAACATGAAATACCAATTGAATGTTTAAGACTTGTTTGCAGTCTAAATAGACTTTGAAGAATTCTACACTTACATGTATAGTCAAACCACATTAAATAGCATAAATCAGGTTCAAAATGAACAATCAAGTTTAAACTTACTAAATATTGAGGAATAGTTACCACTCCCTGTGACTTTTGCAGAAATTTAAAAGTTATCAAAACACCAAATGAACCAGTAAGAGCAACCTGCAGATGAAAACATAGGAGGTGCAGAATTCAGAAATTTGAATCTTGTCCAAAAACTGTAAAATTGAACTGCTCAAAATTACGGCAGATGATTAGAACTATTTTAACAGCTTTTTTTCCTGTGCAAAAACAGAAAATCAGCAGGAAACAAAAATATTTTCAACTTTTAATCCTTTACACCCTGACATCAGTATGCATTTTTACTTAACTGTTCTCTAAGGTGCTGACAAGGAAAACTTTCTTAGCAGTCAAGAGCTTCTTTAGTTGGTAATCATTTCCTTTATTCTCATAACCTTAATGTGTGATTCAGGGCTGATATTGTAGGGAGAAATTAGACGCTAGTCACTCTTGGGGGGCAGAGGGTTAACACTAGCTGAGTTAATTACACCATTGTTTACTCACTGGCGATATTTCAACATTGACTTCTACTTAATCTCGAGGTGATTCCTCAGTATTGCACTGCGCATCTTGTACTGTGCATAAAAATCATGTAATCAGGTGAATAAGCACCCATGCATTCCAAGAACACTGTATTGTTTTCAATGAGTGAAACCAGGTAAAGACATCCAATGGTCTTCACATGTAGTTCTTCAACAAGCACAGTGAGCTAAACTTTTTAATGTAGAATTGTGGTGGAATATTATCCCCTTAAATTGAACATTAATCACAGGGGAAAAAGATAAAGCTAAAAGCGTGCATCAAGCTTGTTACTCATGGATGCAAATTATGACCTTAAAAGCCAAAATTTAAGGAATGTTTTAGGTCAATGACCATTTAAAATTGCGTGATTTCTCCAAAAATTATATTTCACATTGTTCTGCACACTTAAGACTTTCTACCCATCAAGTTTTTTTTTTCTTAAGTGTTACTTTTAAATCCCTAGCCTCTAGCTACAGCAAAATGTACTATGAATCAATGAAATGATGCATGGGATTAATGCAGTACAAGTTAGGCCGGCATCAAAATTATTGTCTCTTAATTCTTCAACTCCTATGAGTGATCAAGACAGAATTTCTCCTTACAATATCGTTACAATATCAAGCAGACAAGTGACAAGAATAAAGAAAAATATCAGTTAGGGGATTAAAAGCTGATTCAATACCAAATTCTCCAAACGAACATCAAGAACTGTATGGCAGACAGTAAGGAGAATTACAAATGAGAGCATAGGAGTTACAGGGTTAAACAAGCAGGTGAGTGACCTATCTTTTTTATTTAATCTTTTAAAACAGAAAATGTAAGGAAAGTAAAAAAAAAAAAAATGGTCAAAAACTCTTTTTTCAGAGGAATCACCTTGGATAACTTATCCTGTACAAGCACTGCCATAGCTACCCCACTTACCCCACACAGGGGTGGTTGTTTATGTGACAAATACATGTACATTCAAAATCCATGTTGCATTATTGGATCTATGATCCCATTGTATTATCCATACACTACACTGATTATACTACACTGAGAGGCAATGGGGGCGATTAAAGCTCAGTTCACTAAAGAAGGGACAAACTATGATCACATTCAGTGAATTTTGGCGTCCATGAAGTCCAAATTACCCACAGAAACATATCTAAAATTTATGTGTCGTCTGTCATCAAAGTTAAGTTCTCTTATGAAAGAAACTTGGGTTTAAATATAATAATCTCATCCAGGATACATACTGTTCATCTAAATGTATTTCTTCCACGATCTCCCATATGTATACACCCCCAAGTAGTCCTGTCAAAATATCTTTAATCGATCAATCGTATCTCGCTTTCTTTCAGGAAGGTTCGAAGATATAAAAGGAAGCTAATTTATGCTTCAATAACATACTATATGAAATCAAATAAACACAAACTCAAATATTTGATTACAGGAAAAACCTCACAACGTTTCTTTTGAGGACAATTCGCCAAGATATCGTGAGCCAGGCAATAAAAAACGAATTTGTTTGCATACCAACACTCCAGTCCAAATGGGCATTCCAAGCCCACTGAATCTCCATTTTACTCGCACAATTTCCACTATTCCGAGCACTATCAGCCACAAAGATAACCAGCATTGGATCACAGACAAAGCACGGAGGAGTTTTATCTTAAATGTGAGGGGCATTTTAATCGATCGATCAAGACTTCGAGATCGAAGCGTAGAAACAGTACTCTCGGTATGTATGTCATGTAATCCGATGTTTGCCCAAATCAACCGCTGACCTTGTTAATTTATGAGGGGTAGGGTCAGATATTCGAGCGTTACATAATGACTACTCAGGCTACTCAGCCTGCTTATACTCCATTTGTAAATAACAACTATTTAGAGCCCCTTGAACTCTCCCCCTCCTATTCCTGCCAGCAACAGGTGAAACCAAGAGATTATTCTCAGATAGTCCAGCCCCCAAAATAGTCGATTATATCCGTTAATTCTTCCAACCTTTTCCTCATAGGGGTGGTATGGGAGTGATGGACCGGCCACATTTTTTGCTCTAAATTACTCAAGGGAGTTCCCTTATTTTGTAATGACGGATTCAAGGGAGTCCCCTCACTGGAATCTGTCATTTTAAATTAGCGTTGTTGTTTTGTTTTATTTTGTTTTGTTTCTGTTTTTGGTTTTGTTTTTATGCTTTGTTTTGTCTCGTTTGTTTGTTTTTTTTTTTAATTGTCTTCCTGTTTAATTCTTTTCTTTTTCCTTCTTACTCATTTGTTTGTATTCACTTGAAACTTGGAAATCATCAAGTTATTGGCCCAAAATTAATTTTCATCCAATATAAATTGGTTTTAGCATCTGATGAGATAAAATATATCGGCCCTTTACCAATTTCCAAAATCAACTGAGTAATTTTGAAAACCAAATTATTATGCAACACCACCCGCCGACGCAGCATCAAATTTTTATTTAGAAACTTATCGCCATTTTTTATATTCATCGAAGTTGAGGACATTAGGAATAATCTGAATTTAATTGTAACCTGGCTACCCACACAGTCAAGACATTAACAAGTGTTACACGAGATAACTTTTTTTACTGATAACTTTGAACTAAGTTTCCTGTATCACCTACGACATGGCAATAAGAAACAAAGCGCTTTTTCACAACAGCCACTCATAGCAAGCAAAATATCATAGGGAGCCAATGAGAACTCAAAATTAAAACAATCAAACTGCAAGAAGCGCGGGAAAACGCGGGCGTCGAGGTTGGTTTTAGTTTTAAATCTGATTGGTCGAGAAAGTGGCGCGTGTTTTCTGGACCAATCACATCATGAAATGAAACAAGACCAAAGCAGTCTCAGATTTTTCCAACACTCATTTGAAAATTTTTCCTCTATTACGTAATCGAATTAGTTACAACTACAGTCATACTAATTACCTGTACATTTTACTCAAAGACACTGATAAGCGACTACTAAAAATTTTTTGCTTCACAGACAAGCGAGAAGTCTCGCGTTTCTACTCCCTCGCGAAGAGTGGTGGTGTTCTTGTTGAGTGGTAGCACTGAAGACGTTGTCACCCCTCCGGAATTCTGATTTCACCTGACGACGGTTTTCTTCTATTTCAAGCTCTCGTTAGATATATTCACAGATATTCTTAATCAAAATATCTTCGGTTAAAAGGGGATGATAATACGGAAAACTCAATAGATATAATTATAAAATGTTCAGAGAAATGTGCGTGCTGTGATTGGTCATTGCGAGCTCATTGTATTTCTATAAAGCACGCGCCTTACGTCACACGAGTGTACTGTTGAGATATAATACACGCAGCTTACGTCATCGGTACGAGCCCGCGCAATTCACAATACATTTGATAACAGAAATAAAAAAAACTTGTTCCTCGAGCGTTGTTGATTTATATAAGCACTTGGGAATTATTAAGAACACTCGAGAAGTGCTAGAAGCACTCACCTTCGGCCAGTGCTTCTCCACACTTCTCTCGTGTTCTTAAAAATTCCCGCGTGCTATTATAACTCAACAATGCACTCGGCGCGTTTTTTATCTCATTAATGAATGCAGATAATGTCACGCAACAAAAAAACGCATCGGGCACGAGACAACTAATTCTGGCCGGCGGCGCAGTTGTCAATGAATGATCTCGCAATAAGTCTTTCCGTGAGAAACTGGTCATATAAGAATGTAGTTACAGATGTACTTAAATTTTAAAAAACCCTAGGTTTAAAGGATATAAAAAGGCATGTACTTAATCCAATGAATGTAAGTAATGTCACGCTACAAAAAACACAGCAGTCAAAGGTTGGGTATGCGCGAGGGGATCAATTCTGGTCGTCTGAGCGCCAATTTCCCGCGTTAAACTGCGATGTAAAAAAATAGATAAAAGTCAACTGAAACGTTCATAGAAATCTGTCGAAGGAAATAAAAGCAAGGAAAAGGAAAACTCGAGACTTTTTGAACAAGACATTTCTGCGAGGGAAAGTACCCTATCGATTTACCATTTTATTTGAGTTTTGTCAAAAATGTTACTTACTTTTCAACACTGCGACTTACTAGTTGTGTGGTTGTTTTTTAATCGCGTGAGACAACATCGTTCTGACCACCTGAAAGCACGGCTCTTATTCATTGAAACGTTGGCACATGCGCAAACGTGTGACCGCTGTGTACTTTGTAGATCGGCATTGCCGCTAATCCATGATACTCTCTTCATACTTGACCTCCTTTTCAAGATCTTCTTCAGGAGAAATTAGCTCTGTCTTCCAAATATTTATAGACTAGGCGAATCCGCACTGTTTCTGATAAGTGGTGGCTAAAGCATTTGAGAATCCAACTGAAAAATTTGTAAAGAAGGTCATAGGCCAAACAAACAGCTCTTTAGCAACTAAACTGTAACAAAATCGTTCTATGCGAATGTCTCAACATGGTGAATATGCCTAGCGGTTAAATGTCGACCATTTTACTGTTAATTTCATTCCGTTTCAATTGAAAGAAAAAAAATTTACCACCAGCTGTATGTCACAACTATAGCTACTAAATACATATTTGTAAAAAAATGTCCACACACAATGTCCTTATGGCGAACAGCTTGCCCTTAACAAGTGTTTATGCAAATCTTTATCGCAAAAAGTCGCGCGAAAGAATGCAATCATTGCTACATTATGCAACTTCTTCCCAGGGTTTAATTTTTCTACTGCTGCTGATAATTTTTGATAAAGAGAAAATAAAAGTCTACAGAGGGAGACCACTGGTCCTCGAGCCTCGTGATGTACATAAAGCTGACAGACAGCAATATAATGGCGGTCTTGTGTTCTTTGCAGTTGTTCTCCGGGATGTCACGTTCCCCTTCAAAGCCGTCCTTTTTTTATTTTCTCACTGGGATGGAAGGGAACACCGCTAGATATTCCGAAGAGGAGCTGCGAAGGATTATGATTTTCCGTTCTCCATCTACTCATTTCTTCAATTTCTCTTAGTTTAGTGAAGTGAACTGTATCTGTTCTATAATGATGAAATGGTCACCTGGCCGTGACCAGCTGTGTTATAGCAACATTCATCTTGCCGATTAATTCCAACATTGTAGGAGCCTCCCCCACCCCCACAGGTATCACCAGCATTGTCTCCAACGCCTCCCCCAGAGTATCCCCCTCCTCCCCCTCCTCCCCCTGCTCCTCCACCTCTCCATCCAGCAGCTCCACCGCCTCCACCAAACCCACCATCGATACCATTTTTCCAAGCTCTCCCACCCTCCCCTCCCTGAAGAAATCCCCTACCACCCTCTCCGCCATTTCCACCGCCTCCACCAAAGTTTCCTCCACTTTTTCCATTGGAGTAAAACCCGCCACCACCACCACCTGAAAGATAATAATGATAATTACAAAATAAGTAAACAAAAATATATATTTTTGATTGAGATACTTAGGGAGCGATTGTCATAAATATTAGTTTTTGCCGGCTGGGCAGCATTTTCAAGCAAAGACTTTGGTCACGAGGTCAGCCGATAAATATTGTATCAATTCTCTCTTTTTTTTCTCACTATAACTGATTAAAGAACTTACCCCGGCCATTTCTATCAGAGGCCTGGGCACCATGCCCATCACTCCCCCCTGACCATGAATTGTACCCAGGATTCCCAGTTGTTTCTGTGCTGGCGTCGCATCCTGCATGTTTTGAAACCGCCTGCTGTACGCCTCCTCCGCCTCCAGCTATTATTAAAGAAGTGTTGACTCCTCTCACTACAAATGTACCTCCACCGCCTCCAGATGACGGACCCGCTATGTTTACTGTTCCCTCTTGACCAACAAGTATCAGGATGACTTCACCCTTGTTTAAGCGGAATGTTCCAGTTATTTTTGCTCCTCTTCCACGATACTGAGAGCTGTTAGCTGTTGAATCGTATCCTCCTGCTGCTCCTATTGCTTGTATTCTGTAGTCACCAGTGTACGGCACAGTCCACCGCTGAGTACCGTTGGATACTGTAACTTGTCCGTCATGATCCTGACCTGTGTAGTGACTGCCCAGCGTTGTTGGACCATATCTTCCAGTGGCATTGAGATTTGTAAAAACAGCTTTAAATACTGAAGGGGAATAGTTAAGTTGTGTTTAGCGATGATAAAAACGTAATAGTTAACTTTTTTCAAAGATTATATGAATCCAGTAGTCTATAAAACAACACATAAATTACGCATATTGTCTTATTGCGCAGGCAGGCACTTTCTATGTCTTTTTGGGACTCCAATGGGGCTGCTAATCAGGACCCAATCAGGGTCACTGTTACCGTTCACGTTCCTTCTTAATATTCAAACAAAAAGGCCGTACTGGAGAATATTGGCCCGAGGTCGTGACGGTACGAACCGAGCGCAGTTAGGTACGCACAAGTCGTACGTGGGCCAAAATTATTTCCCCCCTACATTCAAACAAGCAAAGTTAGTAAGTGATTTAGTTGATAGCACTTTGGACCAAACTTATTTTGTTTTAATTTGCCGGCTTCTGCGGACAAAAGGAATGACGTGAGACCGTTTTAATGGAAACAGCCTGTATGGCAAAATCAGACCAAGTAATAATTAATCAGAATGCTCAGATTTGCTTCAGGAATACCTTGCCATACAGTAATGTAAAGCATGCTCCTTACTGTGGTTGAAGATGTTATGTCGGTCTTCTTTGTTATAAAGGTCAAGAACTGGGGATTCGTATTTGACCCAGTTACTGTAAATTGTTTATGTGCTCTTTTTGATTCGTTTGTCTTTGCTCGAGGTTGTAAAAGAATCACCAAGTTTGCAGTCCCACATTCTTGGGATTGTCTAGAAAGGTTAGATTACTTAAACACTAGAAGAGAATTTTCTTGAACAGTCACCGAACAGGGTAATACAAAAATAAATTAATTCCGAAGTATAACGAGGTAATTTAGTATCATCAACTGAGTTGATAGCGTAAATTAGCCACCGTAAAGAGTTTCAAAGCTGACATTTCTAGCGTTATCCCTTCGTCAGTTTCGTATGACGTTTCGAGCGTTGGCCCTTTGTTAGCCCTTTGTTAGCCCTTCGTTAGCCCTTCGTCAGCCCTTCGTCAGAATCTTAGCCATTCGCTTTGACGAAGAGCTAACGCTCGAAACGACAGCTTTGGAACTCTTTACGATTAATACCAGAGTACTTAAACACTCAATTAGAAATTACGTTATTCGTAAACCTAGTGTTTGTGTCAGGGAGTGTCCAATCGGAATACGTATAATCGATGGATAGGACTTGTTCTAATCTGAAAAGCAGAACATTAATTTTTTGCATACTTACTGCACGAGTACGACCCATACGTGTTGTTGCAACTTGCATTAGAGAGACAATGGTGTTTGTTAGTGAAACACTCGTCTATATCTAAAAGATGAAAAAGGCAGCAGTATAGACGAATGCGTTCATGTGCGAAAAACACTGAATCGACTCACATCTATGTAAATTTATTTCAATACCTTTCCTGTGCTTCAATGGTTTCACACAAAATACGGACCATAGGACAATTGTGACGGTAGGGGCAATAAGGGCGTGGCAAAACAAAGTATCTAGTTGGCTGAATAATAGCTTAGCATGTGCGTTTTAAAACTTTTTACATTTCTAGGCCGTCCTCTGCAAAACGACGACGCCAAATCACCAAATTTTGCGTGGTTAGAGAGGGTAAACCTCAAAGTAAAATTATTTAAGTTCCCATTTGGAATTCAACGCTGCTTACAAACGATGTGCTCAAGTTAAGGCGTGAATCGTCGATGTTGTTGATAAACTCGTTACGTCTAAGCAAATATAAATTAACTTATTCCGTTGGTTAGAAAAATTTAAAGGGACAGTTTTCATGGTTACCTGTGCAGTTTTTGCCATCGCCATTAAAGCCTTCCTTGCAACTGCAATTAAAGGAACCCTCGGTATTGTTGCAGTCAGCATTGACGTCACAGTTGTGGGTATTGGTAATACATTCGTCTACATCTGAAGAAACAAATGCTTTCTATTAAAAGTAAAAAATCTACGACACTTATACAGGAATGGTGTGATCGACTGAGAGACCATTCTTGATTTATTACGAATGACCCCCCTTTGTACCCCCGCGAAAACCATTTCATCCCCCTAGAGTCCCCCCCCCCCTTGCAATAAATAATGGTCTCCCAAAATTTCCCAGTAAAAGTGCGTAAAATTATGCTTACCATTTATCATAAACAAGTGATCCATACTCGTATAATTGAAAATTAGATCAATTAAGAGACACATTGACAAGAAAAAACACAAGTCTATAAGAGAAATAAAGACGTCGCGAGTCGCTGCGTGAGAATCCCGAGAGGAGACCGGCAACACTCGACTCACGTCAAGAGAGTGAATCGGTGCATTGCGTGATCATGAAAACAAGAGAATCGATTTAATTCACATCATTTTCATTGTTCAGAAGCTTCAAAAATAGGTAAGCATCGAACCAAGTGGCCCATCCAGCCGGAGATTATTCCAGTTTCCATTGTCCCCTCCCCCCCTTACATATGGTGTCAGTCTATGACAAGGTTATCCCCAGCATTTCGTTAAGCTTACAATTCACCAGTACCCATATATACCCCTGAATAGACAGAGGCACTATGAAATTAGAGTGCTTTCCCTAAGAATACAACACGGAGACCCAGCCAGGTCTTGATCCCGGATCTCTCGCCCAGGAGTCCAGTCCCGGAACTAATTATTATGGCAAATGCCTAATGATTCTCTAAATGCTAAGTTGTCTTTTAGCTCTGAAAAAAACGTATCTGGGAGAGCAACCATAACGCCAAACAAAATTTAACTCAAAGTAGAACAAACAGAAAGACAACACTGAAAAAGACTCCAAACACACCGCTGTAATTGAAAGCACCAAAAATAAAAGGAAAGGATGTGCGTAAGAGAGAGAAACTAAAACGGGTACAAAAGAGCTGCATTGAAAGAGGAATTATAACCATTACACTGCACGCGCAAAGTAGCCCTTACCTTTTTCACAGTGTTCCCCTGTGTATCCAGGCTGACACGCACACATATATCCCTTGTTTGTGAATCCAACCAGGCAAGTTGCATTGTTGTAGCACGTGTTGAAGGAACACTTGTTCTGATGCAAAAATATATGTAGCTTTATTTTTCTTTAAGATAAGACGGGGGGGAGGGAAAGGAATTCTCCTATAATGATCTGTACTATTCTTATAACAATTTCCCCTCCCCCATCCCCCCCTCATTGGCATATTCCCCCTTGCTACTCTGTTGGCGACTATTGAATCCCACTCCGTTCCCCATGGAAACAATGTGATGCCCAAAAATTCTTGACCCTCCCCTCCCCTTTTATTAAATGGTCCTTAGCTAAGATAGATATTCTACACCCTCTAATTGCCAGTAATGTACTTGTGATATCGACCTTGCGGAAACGTGACCAGATCTTTTTTTTTTTTTTTGCATGAATGTTTTGTCTCCCCTCGTATTATTCTCACTGATATAACGACCACAAACGGCAATCAGCACACTTGAAGCCGCAGTTCGCTCTGCTCGGTAAACTTCGATCGTAAATTACGTGTCTACTTATGATGAGAACACTGGATAAACTTTTACATGAATCGTCTCAGATTCGACGCCACAGATTTTTCCTGTGTTCTAATAATCTCTCATCACATTGCTTGTGAATTATTTCACTGATAAAGTGAAAGAATCTGCAAATTATTTATTTTTACCTCTATTTTCCTATACATGAAGCCTGCCGCTGATTTCAGATCATCTGGATGTTGCACGTGGTCTGAGTCACTCAGCTGGCACAAAACTTTATCTTTTTTTTCTGGTCCCATGTTGATCGATGTACATCTGTCTTCCATAGTACACCAATTTCTACAGTGACTATTCATATGCATTCCGGTTGGTAATGAAATGTTTTTAAAGACATGACCTACCAATGCATATCCATTTATTGGTTTCAGAAACCTGAGTCGCCTACAGCCATCTGTAAGTTAGACAGGAGTGGATAGGGTTTAAGATTGAAGATTGGCGGGAGAGAAAAAAACAAAACTTAAAAATAATGCTCATAGCGTCACACTGAATAGAACGCTTTCGATTGCGTTACGTCAGAGGAAAGTAAAGTACCTTTAAGAGCCAATAAGAATTCAAAGGAGAAACAAACGAACTTCCTAAGGCGAAGGAAAACGCGGGCGATCAAATCGTCAATGGTGTTATTTTTTAATCTGATTGTTTCAGAGAGTGGTGTGAGTTTTCTTGAACAATCAAGGTAAAGTAAAGCAAAAACAATGCAATCTTAAACATTCGTCATTGAATTAAGAATTTGTCGAAAATTAAAGAATCCTGGATTTGAACATTTTCATGATATCAAACGGATCGACTGATTATTCTAATTTCCATTCTAGATTCTACATGTATCTGCCCAAAAGAATTGTTAGATTGTATCGGATTGTGCATCGATCAACTTTTTCCTCGGCATTCATAAGAATTTTCTTACAATACCTAAGTTACTTTTTCTTTCTTTCGGGAAATACAATATGGTTTGTTTAAGAGGATAACATTATTGTAATTCATGAAATGGATTTGGGAAGACTTAATAAAATAGTAACGCGAACTTCCTGCAGTTGAAAGCAATAACGACATGGAATGCTTATCAACGGTTCTTGGTAACATTCAGTTTCAACAAAACCTATTGCTTTTAATAAGTAATGTAAAATCATATTATATGGTGAAAAATTGTCAAATACTTGTATGAAATGGTGATTCGTCTCGGCCAAAATATAATACTCATCAGATACCTTTCGGAATTTTAAAGCCAAATTTTCGAGCATCAAGCTCAAAGGCCCGTTCGCGAATTCAAGATGTTAGGAATCTGGCCCTCTATAGCAGAACGATTCCCAACCGCACGTTCACGAGTTACAATTTATACGATATAGAATTATGTTGGCCACAAGAATCTAACCAATGTTTTGGATGAACTTGCTGTATCCTTCCGTGGACAAGTTTATTTAATTTTTTTTTAGTAGCTCTATAGTTCATTTGTTTTATTTGATATTCTCGTCTTCCTCTGTAGATCTGATAAATAAATTTTGAACCCAGTCTCCTTTCTTTAATTTTTCTCGTTTTGTTTTGCTTTCTTTCTTGTTTTCTCTTTTTTTTTTTCTGTTTTTTTTTCTTTATTTTTTCGGCATAGTACAGATTTAGAATCTTAAACCGACGCTAAACTCACCCGCGATCTTTTCAAAGCGATAACCTTTCACGAAAAATATCAAACTTTTTAAAGTCAAAGTTCTTGATTTTCCCAGGGAAGATTTAGTTCAAAGTTTTAGCAAAGGTCTTGTTTATCCTCCCTGTATCTAAACAGCTGGACATTTCAGAGGGAAAATAAATAAATTGAAATTGCGGATCTTTCTAAATCCCTTTTACACCTTTTCTTAATGTTTGTTGAATTATAATTCGGACAATTTATTCTTTCGAATGAGTCGCTCAAGGGCCTCAGAATTATATCAACGGGAGTTGTGTTTATTTTCATTACTCCCGGTAAATTATTAATGAATAGTCTAATTTCACGAGGTACCACCACGATACTGAGCCAAATAGTATTGCACGATCTTAATTTGTTTTGACATTTGTCAGAGCTGATCTGCTTGATCAAGCTGCGTTTTGAAGTTTCAACAAGTGAAGCTTACTACTTCGAGTACTCTTTATCTTAAAGCCCTTCCAAACAAAAGCAAAAATAGTGGAAAAACGAATTTTAACTCTCATAACAATGAGTACAGTTAATAAGGGCGTAAACCGTAGCAAAGATTATTTGGCAGGCTTACGCATTGATCAAATGCATCATGTTCAGTCATGTTTCCTTTAGACTAATCAAAACAATGAATCTGTTTTTGCTTCGGTTTTCGCCGAAATTTTCTATCATCTTTTTTTTTAAAGATAGATTTGTTTCTTCGCTAAAAGGTGGATTGAAAGAATAGTCTTTTTTATTACATATAAATGTAAAGACAGAGGCGAAGTCAAACACTGGCAACATTCACGTAGTTAAAATACAGTATACGACATGCCGTGATTCTCAGGGTTAGAATACACATCGTGAACACTTACACCACGATTGGTTTTTTCAGTTCAATGGCCTGATAGCCTTTAAAGATGGAAATAACAAATTTTAAAAAAAAAGCGGAAAAAATTCTTGCTAGAGTAACACGAAACTTTTCTTTCAATACAATTGCATTTTTTTTCCTTAAGTTGCACAGGTCTATGGGTTTTCTATATATTCTGATCAATTATTCATCACTGTTTCTCCTCAAGCTTGATCTTTTAGATGACAAACATTTGAATAGTTGATAATAACCAGCAAGAATAACTTTTAACTCGCTTAATTTTTTGTTTTTTTTTGGTAATGATGAAACTGATCCGCGAAATATTTCTAAAATTCAAATGTGAACAAGGAAACATTCCAACGTTAGTGCCATCAAAACTTATCGAACTATGTCTTTCTGCTCAAAACTGTTTATGTAAGCCCTCGACCAGAGAGTTCCAGACTTGCTAACTCCTCCCAAAAACGTGTTTCGCTTTGCACATGTTTTCACGAACTTCATTGTACTATTTTATCAACAAAATTTAAAATTTCGTCGCTCTTAAGCGTCTTCGAAAAGGTCACTTTAGATTTTCTGCTTTTCAGAGCGGATACTCAGTGATAAATTACGGTATCCAAATTCGCCAATTTGTGCATCACTCAACCTGCCTGCCATCAATCCCGATTTGCCTAAGCTTACTTTTTAAAATTTACCTTTAGTGTTGATTTACTGAAGATGGATTTACAGGTATTTAAATTAACAACTTTGTCAGATTGGGTTTTCGAATCTTTACAAATTGCATATTTCTTCTTCGTTAACTTTGATATATAATTGTCCATAAGAATTAATTTGAGAGCTAAGGTAAGACCCTTAACATTTAGCCAGATTTTCGTAACAATTTTCCAACGTTCGTTTTATAAGTCCTGGATTGAGAAAGGCACTGTGAGGATAAAATATCTTTCTCCACAAGAACACAAAAACACAAGAACACAGGGCAATGGCAGGGCCAGTACTTGCACCTGGTACCTTCGATCTGAAGTCGAACGCAATGACCACTGAGCCGACACGTCAACCAGACACCAGACAAAAAAAATTAATCGAAGTCTGCTTTAAATATTCCAAAAAAGAAATTCATTAAAAACAAACAAATTATTTTGAAGTTAACTTACCTTGGTTTGCAGCTATCGAGGTGTAAAACCAGCCTCCAAACTGAAAAAGCAGGAGTTGGACAGAAAACACCGGGTAGCAACGCCGACAATTCATCCTCAGATTCTTGTCAGGAAGGAAATTTTCAGCCTTCCTTTGACCGTAATTCACTTTTAGAAAACTGTCAAAAGTGTGCAAAAACTTCTTTAACCGTCAGACGCGTTTCTGTCACACGGAGCAAAACGGATATCTTTTATCGTCCATCGAGATGAATAATTAATAAAATGGCAGCTGAAAATGAAGTTTCTCTTACATCGCTTGAGCCTAAAAATATTCCGTGATAAGTTCTATTTTCCTGGCATTCTGCACGGAAAAATCTCAACAAAACAATTCTAAGAGAAGATGCACAAGAAACCACTGCAGAATATGGATCGTTCCTAGGGAAAGCGTTAATGGAAAACCTACAGCTTGAGACAATTTTGACAGTTGAAAGTCTTTTGTGTTCTAGTTTCAAGTTAAAACAGTTCCACTGACGAATAAAAACACATTGAATGACCGACGTGTGTTGTGTTATCACGTTTACTTGGCATGTGGGAGCAACCACCATCGTTTAGGCTTTGTTATTGTATTGAATTGGTTTGATGATTGAACAGTTAAAATATTGAAAGTTCTGAATCAAACGCCGGAAACCTATGCACCAAATTTACCGTTTTTTGGAAACCAAATTTAAATCGCCAACAACAAAAAATCAATTAGTATAGGCAATAATATGCTTTCGAGTGCAATGAAAAAATGCATTCGTTTTTAGCCATTCAGGCGCGAGTAATTTTTTTTCGTGTGTATTATTAGTATGAATAATAAATTCACATCTGTTAAATTACATTGATTCAAACTTTGACGGTTGCAGCGCCTCAAGAGAAAGCTAAAAAAAAGAAGCTGCCAAACAAATGAATATAATGACGCCATGTAACAATGCTTGACACAATTCGCACCCCGGGCAAATTTCCTCCGCTGCCAAAAATAACACGATAGTGCATTGTATCATAAAATGCTATGTTTTCTTTAAGAGTTTTGCTAGTTATTTGAATGTCTTCTCATGTTTGAGAACCGAAACATGCATCTTGAGGTAATTCCAAGGACGGAGATACGTACATATTTTCGCGCAAAATGGAAGCCATTGTGATAATATCCTTCAAATATTTCTGCAACACGCTGGAAAAAATGTCTACAAACATTATAATGTTTACTAAGTGGGACGTTGTTTCAATGAACAAACAAACACGTCCCTTCTCCTGTGGCAGCCAAAAAAACGCTCACTCATCTTGAATTAAATTTTAAATGAAGACGTTTGGTAGTGGATGAAGGGTTTGAAAATTGGGTACTTAGACCAAATCTTCGGATATTTTCCAGTCTAAGCTGGGGCATATTCGGTCACGAGATGCATCTAGACCAATCCCGTGATAACGAAAATATTTGATGAATAATAAGCAAAGACAATTATGCCTAGCTACCATTGCACGTACCAGTGGCGATGTTTGTGTCGAGGATACTACCTGTGTTTAGCAGAAGCCATAAAAAATGCGTTCATTGTTATGTGAATAGCAATAATGACGGTAGAAGAAATAATGATGATGATCATG